AACGGGGATGCTAATTTAATGAAATAATAAATTAATGAAAAGGCTTAATAATAAGGGCTTAAGGTCTGCTTGTTCCCACGCAAAGGAACAAAACGGCAAAAGGGGTGAAAATAATGAACCAACAGAACATTTATAATAGTTAGGGTTTAAGAATATTTATAGGGTTTAAAATAGTTTATATACGCTTAAAATTGTAGAGTCCTATTTAAATTAAAATAGAGTTTTAAACCTTTCTGAACTCTAAAAAAAATGAGATTAGGAAAGTTTTTTAATAAATAAAAATATATTATATTTTATATTATATTTTTATAAAATATAATATAAAATCATAAAATATTCGGATATTACAGTGTAGCCTTATTGCATCAACTTGAACCAATTTTATTAAATAATAGTTCTTGGAAATAATTTTGGTTTAGTGCACTTGAATGAATTTATTTAAGTTAAAGACTTTTATAATTTTCATTATGTTCATTGAATTAATTCTAAAACTAATTTGGAAATAATTTTTTCAAGTGAAGCAAAATCCGGTTAAATCCCGAGAGTATGACACGCATACCAAGGTAATACCACCCTAGGCCAGTCGGGCTGCTATGCATCCCACATGTGGCTACTAAAGGCTGGGTGCTCTTGGTTCACGCCACACAAATGTGCGTGTTGGTGCGACACAAGGCAGTAGTAGCGCAGTAGCCAGGCAGCAACAGCTGCGACAGTGTGGCTGTGCGCGCATGCTGCTACTAGGTGCGAGCTTGCGTGCGTGCACTGCTTGGTGAAGCTGCGGGTGTACGTGTGGGTGTGTTGCGAGCATGTGGCACGATGCGCATGAAAGGATTGGTGACCTTCGAACAAGTGTATTATTCTGATAGAGGGTTCGAGATTATTAGAAAGCTAATTATTCAGTGAGGTCAAGTGATTGGAATGTCTTGATGGAGGCCGCTTTCAATTAGTAATATTAATGAATAATTAATATTACAGCTTAATCTTGATTGAACCCTTCGGGTCGCACCCAAGCAATTAGCCGAATCGACAAATTAATTCAAAAGAAATTAATGAGTCCCCCGAGTAATTAATATTTAGACATCGGAAATTCGAGCTCGGAGTATCGAAACTGAGTGTCGGAAGTCGAGTCGAAAATAATAAAAGACGAGACGTGAAAAACTAATAAATCAAAAAATTCCCAAAATACCCCTAGCATCGGAATGCCCCGAGCAAACCTAGTGCTACGGGGATATGGCCTAGAATGGTGGCTAGCATGCGCACCAAGCCGAGCCTAAGCTGACTTATGCATGCTAGCGCATCCATGCTAGCGTGGCTGGGCGCAACCATGTGCGTGCATTGTCTAGCAAGCCATGCCGCAGCAGCCAGCCGCAAGGGGCCAGCATGCTAAGCGCGCCAGCCCGCAGCAGCTAGCAGTTGGGCCTCAGCCAAGTAGCCCGCACGCAAGTGTGGTGCCTGCTGGCCGAGTATAAAAGTTATCTTTTCAAAACAGGATTAATTGTTATGAAATCAATGTAAAATGTTTATAAATATGAAATAATAGACCCTAGATCAACATAAATAGTTCTTCATGGGTTATCTAATGGAAACTAAGAGGCATTATTCCTACAATCGCGTAGAAAACAAAGTGTTGGTTGCTCGCGACAATGTCTTTATAGAAAGAAATCTCTTCCTACAAATCCAAGTGATTGTTCTCCTCCCCAAATTGCTGCTGTTATGATTTCAGAGACAACGAGAAACCCACGGAGGCTATTCTTCAAGTGTAGAAGCTACGATTTCCTTGCGAGGTTGAAGGAAGGGGATATAATTAGGGTTAGCGAGGAAATGGAGGTTGAGCAAGGTGGTAGTGTTTTGGGTGTTATTGATAGGCTTGATGAGTTGCTGAAATTTATCAAATTAATTTTTAGGGTGGCCCTAATATATTTTGTGCTTTTATTTGTAGTTGATAAGTGATGATTAAGGTTGCTAGGATGGTGGGGGTATGTTTTATGGATTAATAGTGTGGTGTACTAGGAGAACAAATCTCAAATTATGTACTGCATTTTCATGAATAAAAGCACTTTATTTTACATAAGATTATTTGCAATTTCAACTGTTATCCAAAGTTATGCTTAAATTATCCAAGAAAAAATGTTGGCTTATTCATATTGAACCAAAACTGACAGCGCAAATAATTGAACAAAAACAGAGATTGTATTGAAACAATAATCACAGGACAAATTCATATTGTCATACGCTTGAACCAAACCATACTTGTTCAAAAAAAAAAAAAACACTCCAAGTCAGAATTTGGCAACCTAAAAAGGCATACATTGTTTGATTTCCTAATGTGATCATACAAAAAACAACCATACATTACATTTCAACTCTGAAATGCATAATCTAACAAGGCTGTGATGCTGAAACTCCTTTCTTTGCCCTGATTCTTGGTGACTGTCTTACTATTTGTGATGAAGATGCCAGTGTAGCAGGATCTGGTTGGCTTTGACTGATTCCTTTCCTTGTTTTTGGAGCTTGCTTTGGGGCTGCTCCAGATTTAGCTTGCTTTGGGGCTGTTCTAGATTTGGCCTTCTCTTTCTTAGTCAGTCCACCTTGACATGATATGTTTGTGAATTGTGCCCAAACTTTTAGCATTTGCTACATTTCACAGTCTTAGACCTTTTCCCCTTAGCCTGCTCACCTTCTTCTCTCCTTCTGTTCCTAGCAGGCCTCCCTATCCCTCTCTTCATTGGTGGTGGCCCAATCTTTTCATAAGTGTTATCCTGCCATTGCTCTGGATCAGGTATCACTTTGATGGTGTTGGCATAAGTGATCTTGTACCTATGGAATGAGTACCACTCACTGATTTACTTCCAGGGTCATCGTGTGAGTGCACTATTTCCCTCATAACATGTTTACAAGGCAATCCAGATAATTGCCATGCATTACACACACATGTTTTATCCTTAAGGTTCACAGCAAGAACAGATCTTCCATCTAACACTTCAAATAGTCAATCGCCAGATTTTAAGCACTTACATGACCTAGACTCAAGCCTTGTAACTTGAATTATTCTCATTATGCTAGGGAAAAAATCATCTTTCCAAGCTTCACAAGCTTCCCTTCTAGTTGTCATTCTTATACAAAGTTAGGAAGACATATTAGCATGTGTTCAAGTTGCCAAAATGAGAGCTTGATTAATAATGTTACCTTCAAGCAAGGTCAATATTGGGTCTGCATCTATCTACTCCCAAAATAGAATTGAAGCTTTCAACAAATTTGGATTTGTTCATATCATTTTTGATGGCTAGATTGAAAGCATGCTTTGTCCAAGTTGACTGTGGGCCAAGTTCTGCAAGCCACACCAATGCAAGTGGATTTGCCTTATGTAAAGTTGTCATAGCTTTCTTGAAAGTGAATGTGTTGTATGCCCCAGCAGCTTTCTAGAAAAGCTAGAACATTAGCAAACTAGGAAATTGGCCCTTGAAAATTTTGACTAAATGCTTACAACAATACCTCCTCCCCACCTTTGGCCAAATTCCAGTTAAGGCTGGATCAATACCCTATACAGACAAAACAACCAATCTTATTAGCATCATAATCACAATAAAAAAAAGCTATGAACCAATACTGTAATACCCTAAATTTTTATATTTTAAGTTTCGAGGACGAAACTTATTTTAAGGAGGGTAGATTGTAATACCCGAATATGTTATGATTTTATATAATATATTTTATAAAAAAAAAAAGTTTAGTTTTATTTATTATATAAATTTTCTAATCTAATAATTTTATTTAGAGTTCGTAAAGTTTTAAAACTCTATCTTGTTTAAATAGCACTATACAATTCAAAACGTATATAAATTATTTTAAACCCTAAAAATATTCTTAACTCTCAAAATATATTTTATTAAAAAAAAAAAAAAAAAACTTGTCGTACGAATATCTTTTGTGCGTGACTTCCAATATTACATGATCTAACCCCAAAACTTGATTATCCATAAAAGTTTTCCTTTGATTATTCTCCAAATTCCATTGGATTGGTATAGTCAAAGCTACGCAAATTGGAACGACACCTGATATAATTTTCCTCAAATATTGTCATTCCGTTGTACTTTGCCGAAGTTAATCACACTTTATCAATTTGGAGATGTTTGATTTATTTGATTGTATTATTTATTAAGTGTAATCACACTCGTTGCTATTTGTTATTTGTTATACATAATCACACGAACCTGTATAGAGATGTTTGTATTACTAGTATGTAGTATATGTAATCAGATCACACGTTTGATTATAATTTTGTACTATTTATTATGGTTATCCTGCTTATCCCTTGATAGTTTTTGGGTTATAATTATTCTTTAATTTGTCTAACAATTTTGTACTCGTCAATTTTCATATGCTTTTGATGTTTTATGTATAAGTTGATTGTATCTTATTGATTAGTCGACTATTATGAATTATGCTCTTAGTATGCGTCTTTAATGATGCGCATCCACTAAGTATGATCAACTTTTTTTTTATGCAATATGTATTACTTAAGAGTTTAGATTAGATATGTTATAAATATAATTCGATATTCGGTAATTTTAGTTGGGTTTCTTTCGGTTGCTATATTAGAGTGCAGTTCAGCGATATTATAATTTTGAGGTTTTAGAGTTACTTGTATTATTATTTTTGGGTTGAGATTTGATTAATTTTGGGTATTAGTTTGATTGCCCTAAGAGCATACCCAATGGATGACCCAAAATATTTGGTCATGGATTATTATATAATTTCTTTCTCTTTCCACTCATCCACGACCAAGTCACATGACCAACCATGACCAAAGACTCCCAATTTTCTCTCTCCTACTTTTACCATACCCCACCATATATTCTCTCTCTTCTATCCCACCATATAATTAAAATTGTTGTTAAAAACGTAATAATTCCTATAATTGTTGCATATAATAAAAAATTTAAAATGCTTAATGATAAATATAATTATACACTAAATGTAATCAATGATGTATTATTGAAGCGCAAATGTAAAATACATGGACACTTAATTTAAAACCACGTTAAGTAATAATAATACACAATAGTACGATAACACATGCATGATTAGAACACATTATTTAGCATTAGCTAAAACATAAACTAAACATAATTACTTAAATAAAATACTCTTAAAGGCCTAATAATACATCATTACTGCCTATTATAAGACTCCCCATATCTAAGCCATAAATGTTCCACTAAATCTGACTTCAAGGCTCTATGGGTAACTTCATCACGAACTCGAGCTCTATTAGCCATGTAAGTCTCCAAATTAGCTGGTCGGTTACTACTGTTGCTAAATTGAAACGGTCCTTGAGAATTTCTTCTACTTGAAGACGGTGGTTCAGCTTGCTCATATTCATTTGGATCATCATACCTTGGATCATAATATCTTGCGTATGTATCTCGCTCATCCTCGACGATCATGTTGTGTAAGATGATGCAATCTATCATAATTTTTCCAAGCATTGATACATCACGAGCAAGAGCAGGATGCCGCACAATGGCAAAACGAGCTTGTAGTACTCCAAATGCACGTTCGACATCCTTTCGCTGACCTTCTTGCTTTTTGGCGAAAAGACCCTCTTTTTCATTTTAGGGGAGGGATATTGTGCGAACGAATGATGCCCATGTAGGATATATACCATCAGTGAGATAATATCCCATATTGTATTGGTGGCCATTAACGATATAGCTAACCGAAGGTGCACGACCTTCGAATATATCATTAAATAATGGAGACCTGTTGTAAGGAATAATTTCAAGTGTTAACCCCTAGCTTGAATCCCACTGTGATCATACACTAAAGTACGGTGGCATTCAAAAGGGAAGAAGATAGAGCAAAAGAGTCGCCAACAAGTTTTAGGAACTTGTAAAACGTTGGAACTTGTAAACCGTTCACAGGGTGAAGGTTACACCCCTTAACGATTCAAGAGATCGTCAACTCCATAAGGTCTTGAACCAAATAGGGTTCGGGGATGAAGGTACAAATCCAACCTAAAAGAGATTGAACCTGCCCTAATAATAGGCTTCTACTTTATTCTGATCGTATTCATGCGCGCTTTTTGATTAACATGCAATCAATAGAATTAACCCTAAACCTGTTTATCTATGTTGGTTGAATATTAATGCACAAATAAATCTATTATTGGCGATCACTTGAATTATAACCATATTAACCCTAAACAAGATTATTAAATATCTTATTAAGCGTGATTACAAATACCAATTCCCTTTAAACATGCATAAAAGGCGTGATCAAGCAATAACAATAAATAATCAAGCAACATAATAATCATCATCAAAATAATTATAACAATCATAATAATCATAATAATAATTATAACAATTATAATCATAAATCATAAAGAATAATCATAGTAATGATCGAAACAATAATCATCATAATAACAATCATATTAATAATAATAATAATAATAATAATAATAATAATAATAATAATAATAATAATAATAATAATAATAATAATAATAATAATCATGTTAAGGCATAGCAAGATCCTAGGCATGATACTAACAAGATTAATAACAAACCCTAGCATGTCACTAAGCAATAAAAATCAAACCTTTAACCCTAACATGATACTAACAATGAATATTAGGAAGAACATAGGAAGCATCATACTTTTAATCACACTTGATATTAAAGTTACCCTAGACATGATACTAGGAATCAAAATAACAATCTAAGTATGAACTCTATATCATAACATCAATAAAAACCATTAAAATACTTACTTTGATGCTTCGTACCTCTTTCTAATAACAAAATACACACGTTAGTAACTTCAAGGAAAATAATAAACAAAGCAATTAAATTAAATAATTGAAAAAGAGATTTGGGACCAAACCCTCAGAAATTAAACCTTTCACGTCTAGGGCGAAGACAACTTCAAATATGGCTAGGTGTTTCTAGATTTAATGAATGCGGAATTTAGTTTGTAAAAAAGCTAGTTTAGAAAGAGAGAGAGAAAGAGAGAGAGAGAGAGTAATCAAGAAAATCTTGATGAGAGTTGATGAATGATTACAGATGAAAACTGGTTGTAGGTGAATGAAAACGGAGTTTTTACGACGTTATTTATAAAGAAATAATGTGTGTATTTTGTTATTAGAAAGAGGTACGAGGCATCAAAGTAAGTGTTTTAATGGTTTTAATTGATTTTATGATGTAGAAATCATGTTTAGACTGTTATTTTGATTCCTAGTATCATGTCTAGGGTAATTTTAATATTAAATATGATTGTTACAATGTTTCCTATGTTCTTCCTAATATTTATGATTGTTAGTATCATGCTAGGGCTAAAGATTTGATTTTTATTGCTTAGTGACATGCTAGAGTTTGTAATTAATCTTGTTAGTATCATGCCTAGGATCTTGCTATTTTTATTATGCTTTAATATTAACATGAACATGATTATGTTTATAATTGTTATAATTTATGATGATTATGAATATTATTATTATTATTGTTATTTTGGTGATGATTATTTTATTTATGATTATTATTATGACTATTATAATTTTATTATTATGATTATTGTGTTGCTTGATATATTTATTATTTATTGCTTGATCACACCTTTATTGCATGTTTAAAGGGAATTTATACTTGTAATCACGCTTAATAAGATAATTAATAATCTTGTTTAGGGTTAATTGTGATTATAATTCAAGTGATCGCCAATAATAGTTTATTTGTGCATTAAATTCAACCAACATAGATAAACAGGTTTAGGGTTAATTCTATTGATTGCATGTTAATCAAAAAGCGCGCATGAATACGATCAGAATAAAGTAGAGGCCTATTATTAGGGCAGGTTCAATCTCTTTTAGGTTGGATTTGTACCTTCATCCCCGAACCCTTATTTGGTTCTAGACCTTATGGAGTTGACGATCTCTTGGATCGTTAAGGGGTGTAACCTTCACCTCGTGAACGGTTTACAAGTTCCTAAAAAAACTTATTGGCGACTCTTTTGCTCTATCTTCTTCCCTTTTGGACGCCACCGTACTTTAGTGTATGATCACAGTGGGGTTCAAGCTAGTGGGATTTAAAGGCTTGAAATTATTCCCTACAGCTGCTGATACAAATTTTCTTACAACCTCCACACTAATTTCCTAAATTCATAAAACAATATTAATGCACACATTCTTTCCCAAATTGGACAAACAAAACATTAATACAAAATGGAAAAAACCTTAAACTAATGGCGTCTACATTCACTACCCTGACATGGCAGTGGATAACTTACATGATTATGATTTGCAACTATGTCGTTGTCAAAGACGTACGTTTTATACATTTGTCTAGATATATGTTCCCATAGTCTTTTGAATCTTGTGCAATCGAATGGTGTACATAGTATGGCTTGGCAATTTTGATGGTGAGCGGCTTGATGATCCTATGTTAGTCATCCTCCTCATCCTACCATAAATTGCCTACGTGACATGTTTTATTGGCTAATTTTTAATTCTTTTAAATTACAAAATTAATAATAAAGATTTTCTAATTTTGTAGATACATATATAATTTCTAAAATCAGTTCTATAATGTCTGAAAACTCATGTTTTATTTCATATTTTAATTTTTGAAATATCATTTTTAATAAATTAATGATTAAAATCGGAAAATTAAATATAAAAAATGTTTTCATTGCTCTTCCATTGTTTTTCATCCATTGATCAAAATAACCGCCTATCATCAAGCTATTCTCTTATTTAATCATATAACTAACCAACAATTCGTTTATAAAATCAATCATGAATTGGGTTGGTCCAATTTCTTCATGGATGCATATGGTTTTTCAAAAATATGAAAGGCTCTAAATTTCTACATTTTTTTTGACATGTTAGGAGTTTTAGGCTCATCAGTGTGATCGAAAATAGAGATTGTTTCGTCAAATATGATCTAAAAGTTTGAACGATAGAGTTTGTGAACTAAAGAGGTGATGGTTCGATGTTAAGATATTGGTTTGTTTGTTTTATTGTTTTTAACAAAAATAAAACAAACAAACTAATATCCTAACATCAAAATATAACCTAGCCTACCCTAAAGATTATTGTTGGTGTTTGATTAGTTTACTTTTGTTTATGTTTTTTTCCATGGTCACAAGTAATTGTGTTAGTGCAAGTTGTTTTTGGCTTTTGTGCACTAGTAGATGACCTATTGACCTACTCATATTTGTTTCTTTTTAGGGTGGTCTTATTATTTATTTTTATTTATTTTTTTTGAAGGAAGGGTGGTCTTATTTTACTGGTGGAAAGTAGAAACGGATTGTGATGTTTATTATTTATAATGGTTTTATTCAAACTGTGATCCTTTTAAAAGTGGTTTTCATAACTTGAACGGAAGGGTTGGTGTTGTATAATATAGTGTTCTTAATTAATTACGAGAAATTCAAATTTAGTGAACTTTTTCCTACAACTACTCATTCAGCTTCTACAGTTTACAAATTTTAAATAGCCGATCAATTTCCCCTCACTTTCATTCTTACTCATTTTTCATGGTTTTGCAATACTTCATAAATTTTGATTGCTTATTTAATTTGCACTTTATGGTTCTAAGGGAAGTTATAATGATTGACTCATACAAAACTGCGAACAAATTATCGGAAGACCATCAACGTCTAATTTAGCTAATTTGATTGTCATAATCAAGAATCTAGACTATAGATTAGGAGCTTAATTTCGTACATTAGAGCAAGCAAGTGGAAGTGAGAATAAATAAATTGATATACCACAATGTATAGTATAACATACTATCAAGTATAGTACCAAACATGCACCACGATGGTTAAAGTTGAATTCATCAACTCATATCAGAAAAAGCTCCTCTGTCACTCTTTGATAATATGAATCTTGTCAAATTATGTAATGCAATTGATAAAGTATTTATCTAAAATCACCATTTTTAATTAATTTAGGGTTTTTAAAGTAAGCCTGAATAGAATAAAAGTATGATAGCAAACACCATAAAATTATTTACAATAATCTATTCATTCATTATAGCTTTTGTCCAAAAATAAATAAATAAATAAATATATTCATTCGATACTCTTAATCAAACACCCATGATTGATTTCTCTTTAATTACCGTGATCCAAAATCAGATATCATCCTATTACACTAAGTCTTCAAATCTTTCAATTTTAATTTTGCTTGTTATTGTCACTATCTACTATTCTACTGTATACTGATTTTGACATTTAAGCTCAATTTATTCACAACCCAAAATAATCAAATATATTACAAAAGTATATAAATTGAACACATATATGATCAATTTTCACATTATACTCGTATATCATTTTAGAAAACCAAATAAGCTAGGCAAAAGGAAAAGATACAATCACAGAAAAGGATTTTCAAAGATAATCAACCCTAAACTTCAATATCTTTGCAAGAATTTTAGAGTGTAACAAGTATATATGTAGTGTATGCTAGCTTATTTATGAAATAAAGGGGGAGGAGGGAGGAGGGAGGAGCATGGTAAAAGAGTGGGTAGTGTATAGACATACATAATACAAATCAACAACCTTCTCAGGATTATTATAAGCAACACGAAAAGCACAAATAACAATATCATTATCCGGTTACTCCAACTTCCTCTATTTATTTACTCCCAATAATGCTCCTAATTTTTTTAAAACTCTAAAATTTTCCAACTTCCTTCATTCAGTTCTATTTTGTAATTAGTTTACAATTTCCTTGTTCTTCTTCCCAGAAATTTAATTTTCGAATAAGGTTTTTGCCTTCTTCTATTTTATTTATTTATATTATTTTTTTTACACAAGCACAACTTTATTTAATTAAGGACAAAAGAGTCCTGCAATACAAGGTCAAGAGCTTCATAAGGAACCTCTTCGATCCAAACCCGCATACATAAACACTTAAAATTCATACTCAAATGGGCAAGAGTATGAGCCACACTATTACCTCTCCTTCCTACATGTGAGAACAAAATACTAACACAAGACTTAGCAAGCTCTAGAATATCTTCCTCTTTTAAATACAATAGTTCTGAGTGTCCTTGGGTATAGAGGAATTAATTTTTTGTTTTCACTTTAATACTACTTAATTTTCGTATATCAATATCCTCAAATTTTTCACCCCCATATATCTTCTTTCAATCTCATGTCATACTCAAATTAATTTTGAGAACAAATAAACAAAAATTAAGATTCATAATACGGAGTAATAGTAAATTGGGTTTAAGGTGTAAAAAAGTAGAACCACAGGAATTGTCATAGTCATTAACTTATTAAGTGAATTTTTTACTGTTCAACATCAAAAGTATCGCGTATTACGGAGTACTACTTTTTTATTTTAATTGCTTTATTATTATTATTATTATTATTATTATTATTATTATTATTATTTTACATGAACTAATTGCAATTTGCAATTTTGAAGGTGGAAATTAAGAAAATGTTTGAATGGCTAATTCAGAATTAAATAAAATGTGGAATCGAAATTACAAGTAAATTCTTATTCATTATTAAGACTTAGGAGTTGCGTTGAAGATTGATTTTTAACGCTCATTCAATATGTGTACCAAAATGTTTATACGAATTATAATGAATTATTAATTTTGCACAAAAGTATTAAAATGTTCTAATCTTTATCTTTTCATTATAAAAATAATTTCTTATAAAATTTTGCCCTTTAGATTAGGGCTCAATTTCTAAGGTTAAGACTGTCCATGCATTACATGTTACAGGACATTATATTGAGCATTAGAGCTTCCTCATAAATGGTCATGCAACTGTTCTAAACTACATACACTACTATACAAACAAGTCTAGTACACAAGCTACAAGTGCAACTATTTCATAATTTACCAGAGAAATTACACAAATAATAATTTCACAACTCAAGAATACTTTAACCTTCAGACATTTAAACCCTTTACTACCAATTTATTGAGGAAATTTTTTTTATTCTAGACAATGAAGGGCTATCAAAAGCTTTATTCCAATTGAAGTAGACAAGTCTTATTGCAAAACAGTTCTAATTTCAGTCATCATCCAACTTTTAAAATGGTTTTTTTTATTGCTATAAATGCTTCAATATTTATTGTTTGAAATCACAAAATATTAATTTTTCCCATGTTAAAAAGAAAAAATTCACTTTTTTTTTTTTTTTTTTGGTACCAAAACTCCTCGCACTATCGAAATATTAATTTAGGTAAATCACGTTACTTCTCTTCCCTTTATTGGCTTCATGTAGTTGAACAACATATCTAGAGTATTAGTGGTATAGAATTAAGCAATGATGTGTTTCCAAATGGGCAAATTTTGCCTACTCCAAATATAAGACAATTCAGTTTCAAGAGTTTAGAGCTGCAACTCGAAAATTCAGTCATGATAATTTAATGGGTCAAGGAGGTTTCGGTAAATTTTATAAAGGTTTTCTGGAAAACAAATGTCCTCCAAGAAGTGGTAGCAATTTGATTGTTGTCGTAAAAAGATTAAATTCCGATAGTATTCAAGGTTTAGAGGAATAGCAGATAATCCATCATAACCAAATAATATTTATCATTTAGTTTATAATGTATCTTGAAGTAGTTATTGAGATTAGTCATATTATATTTATAAAAAATAGGAAAAATTGTTAAAAATAATACAAACTTTGAACGATCCGCTAAAAACAAGTCAAACTTTTAATTATTTCTAAATAATACAAACTTTATATATATATATATATATATATATATATATATATATATATATATATATATATATATATATTGTTCAAAAAGTTTAGTGGAGTGGACTAAGCCAAACTCATACTAAAACCAGATTTTAGCAAATTAAAGTAAAAATAAAATGAAGAATAAAAACTAAAATCTAACACGTAACCTAAAAATTACATACTGTAAATAAATTTTTTATTATTGTGATTGCATATGCACACTTAAATCATAATTTTTTATCTAACACGTAACCTAAAAATTACTACCTTTGTTTCATAATATTTGCAATGCTTCTACATTTTGTACTCCACTTTATGTCAAATCGTTGCATATAAAATGAAACGGGAGTAACAGTTTGTTTGAATTACTACAAAGCCATAACGACCATAAGTAAAACCAATTCCTCAATCTATCACTATATATTAATGTCGTGGTTTATCATATGATGTAGGCAGAAGTAATTTCTCAGGAAGGCTTTTGCACCCTTATCTAACCAAATTACTTAGATATGGTTGGGAAAATCACTTTAATGTCATGGTTTATCATATGATGTTGGCAAAAGTAAATTACTTAGGAAGGCTTTTGCACCCTAATTTAACCAAATTACGGATGTTGTTGGGAAATCAATGAAATGCTGAGTTCATGGAAATAGGGAGTTTGGTAACGCATCTTTCTGGAAATAAGTTTTTCTCAAAATCATATCGATGTTGGTATAATGAAATATTTTGTCGTTAACATCAATTGTTTTTGTAATAGGCTCTAATATGTTGTTATCGCGGATTTAGTAAAGTTGAAAATATTTAATAATAAATTACCATACAAAATTGGCATAGGATGTTAGTTAGAGGCTTAGGGCTGATTGCAAATATATCTTTTCAAATAACTGGCTTTATTGTGTGCATCCCTTGTGTCAGAACATCAAGTAACCAAAAACTTCATATCATTAATAAAGCTTTGGCGTAAATATTTTTTATTGTAGTTACTTTGTTTCTTTTTAGTCACATCACTTTACTAAAACATAAATTTTAAATTAGTGAAAATCATCTTTTCGTAGCGATTATTTTGTAACGATTGTACATTTTCTACAATATGCATGTATGTATGTGAAAAATTTAGAGAAAACCGTATCATATATTCACCTTTTTTTTATTCACATTTATAAAATTATTGAAAATTATATCGTTGACAATCGCCGCTAAAACCCAAAAAACGATACGAAATGCCTTTCTACACTAGATTTACAAATTTTGTTTGGCAAAGAAAAAATCAAATATGTCATAGTTTATAAGTAAAACATTAAGTGTTCGTTTGGCAATGCTGTGGTTTTTTGTTTTTTGGTTTTTTGTTATATAAAAGTATATGATATATGTCACATAATGAATCAGAAATTATTTAAACTTGTTAGAATCATAATAATTAAGTTATTGCCAATGCCAATGGAAGCATCAGATCAAAGCTCTTATTAAGAAAAAGAGCCAACATTCAGAAACATAAAAAATGATAATTTTTGTAATTCATTACTGACTCCGGAGTAAGAACGACGACAATATTTAATTTTGGAGCAAAAATGGAATTTTCTGTATTGTTATTGACCTTTTTAAGTAGAAAGAATAGAGTTGAAAATACAATTGATAAAGCCTAGGCTGGTTTGTGATTGAAATGGTGTTTCTATCATAATTCTGTTTAAAGTAGATCTCCGAATTTCAATTTCATATATCCACATCATTTATGTAAAATGTAAAATCTCATTGATTGAGAATTTGAGGTCAATTTTATTTTGGTAAGAGTGGCAGTTAATCATGCTGCATATATGCATGACTATTTTGTGGACTGACTAGGGACTTTACTCAACAAATTAAGTCCTGATGGCACAACGCTGAACAAACTATATATCCTAACTCAGTCACATTTGACTATCACCAAGATGACATATCAAAATCTTAAAAAAGTTGCAGGTCAATTGAAGAGGCGACCAAAAAGTCAAAATGAGCAGCCTAATTCTTCAATTAAGTCTGGAATGTCTGGCAGAGATATACTATCCCACCAACAAATCCATATAGTCACATATTATTTCACCACCAAAATTCAAATTAGCAGTTTAGACAAAGAGATAGATGTATTAATAGATCAAAGTGATTGATTCAATACAAGATTTACGCGCACACACACACACAAAGCAGTAACACAAACAATAATCGTTTCTTAATTTTTATTTTTTTAGTATTAAATTTTGTCAGGGTCCTTATGATCCCATCTGCTGAAAGCTTGGGAAAAATGGGATACAAAGCATGGATCAGAGAACACAGCAACACCAGCTCCAAAAATTCACCCAAATAACACATTTTTTATTATATTTGTTCGAAATTATTCATCAAAACCTAATTTTCTTTGTTTTTAATAATCCAATTTCATTAAAAATTAATCAAGTAATTGAAAACAACAACAATCAATTCGAATTTACATGTAAAACCACTAATTCAAAAGTACAAGAATCCTAATTCAAAAGGAACACATACCTCAAAACCTTGATACAAATCCACTAAAGTTGATCCCAAATTCGAACAAACCAAAACAACAATTAATGGAGTGAGATGCAGCGAAAGAGAAGGAAGAGCGGTGAAGGAGAAAGAGGAGCAGTGAAGGCGTGAAGGAGGAGCAGTTTGTATTGGAGCGAAAGTGTGAATGGTTTTTTTTTTATTTCTGCGAATTTACCTCGAATAATACTACCTTAATTTTTTTTCCCTTTTTTTTAACCTTTGATAAAAAAAATTAAATGAAAATTGCTTTCCAAAAAAAAAAAATTTAATGAAAATTAAATAAAATTAATAGAAAGTAGAAAACTAGAAACTTAACGTTTGTTGCTTTAAAAAAAAAAACAAAAATTATTGTTAGACTTATTATTTATTACCAGCGTTTGTAAGCTAGTTACAAACTTTTTGGTCAAATTTACTTTGAGTTATTATTTGTAACTGGCGTTTGTAAACTAGTTACAAATATTTTGGTCAACTTTTCTTTGACTGATTATTTGTAACTGGCGTTTCTAAGCTAGTTACAAATGTTTAGGTCAACTTTTCTTTGACTTAATATTTGTAACTGGCGTTTATGAGCTAGTTACAAACGCTTTGGTCAAATTTTCTTTGACTAAGTATTTGTAACTGGCGTTTGTAAGCTAGTTACAAGCTTTTAGTCAAAGTTTTTTTGACTAAACATTTGTAACTGACATTTATTTAGTCAGTTACTAGTAAAACTTCAAATAATGATAAACCACATATTAGTAATTGACATTTACTACATTGGTTACTAATGTCATGAAATTTGTAACTGGCATTATCTTAGTCGGTTACTACTGATGCTTCTGTAACTAGCATAATATACGCCAGTTACTAATATGGCGTTACAAATAACATTTTTACTACTAGTGAATAAACATCTATAACTAAGCATTACATATATGTAGTATCAATATCCAAATGAGACTCATGAGCATTTCTAAATATGAGAATGAAATGAACGTTCAAAATTCTATCAAAATTCGAATGTATATATATATATATATATATATATATATATATATATATATATATATATATATATATATATATATATATATATATATATATATATATATATAATGAGAATTATATGAAAAAGAATGAAATTTATTTTTAAAATTCTATGCTAACAATTAATAATATAAAATCACGCCTTAATATACGAATAATATATGAATCACTTACTTCCACAAAAAGTATAAGAAGAAAAGCTTTAATTCCTTAGAAAATATTTGATGAAGATGACAATAATATGAACATATATAAAAAAATCTAATGCTGGTATATTAATATACGAATGATCATTTACTAATACGCTAATGAACATCTATCATAACGAAAGTGAACATTCTTCAACAATTATTTTTCACACTAAACTAAAGTTATATCTCAATAATCTGACGAAATAGATCAAACTATCCACAAATTAGGACAACACTCTATTTTCAATTTTTTATGTCTAATAATTATTTAATATATAACACACTATAAACTATTTCAACACAAGAGTACATCAAATAGTAAAATAATTCAACCAACACATTAATTTTTTTTTCTATGATTTTGACAATCAATTTGGGGAAAAAAAATTAGTGTAATCAAATCAACATTTAACAATTATATCAAATCATTGAAATGAAAATTGGAGAAAGAAATTAGTATCTCATCATTGATTTGCGTCAAAAATGAAGCTCCCATAAGAAGTGACATAAATAAGGTGATGATTAAACTTCTATGATGAAAAATATGAAGGTAATTAAGTAGAGAAAGCTAAAAATGAAGGTTTTTGGAGAGAGAAAATGAATATGATGAAATTTTTGGAGAGAGAAAACAAAGTTTGATGGTTTTTGGAAAGATAAATCATAGAATTGAATGAATTGTAAAAGATAACAATGGCAAAATATATCCTATGTATTTTTGTAGGGAGACTTTATTTGGAAGGGAGGTAAATTGGTAGTGGTGGGGGGGGGTATTTACCTACACTATGACGTAGGCATTAGTAATTAATCTCTCTACCCTTAACTCTGTGTCATGTCGGCGATGGAACCAATACCGAGGAACTTCTTTAATCGCGAGCCAAGTAGCCAACCTTCATTCAATACATCTATAACTCCCTTCTCTTTCTTCCGTACTCCAGTAACCACGTTTAATGAAACTAGTAATATAATTTTGCTTTTGATTTATTTGTACAAGTTTTGGTTGATTTGAAGAATGTCTAACATGTTTAAATGTTGAATGAGCTGCAATTTTGTTTTTATAAAATAATTTCATTTTTATTACATTTGTAGAAAAAAAATAGCAAAATATGTAGGATCCATTTTGGATTCAGACCCAAACCCATATCCGAAGGACCCGCCGAATCTGGATTTGGGTCTCCATTTTCCAGACCTGACGGATTCGGGTCCGGATGGACCCGTTCCAAATTCGGCCCGTTGCCATTCCTAGGGAGTAGTATGAACTTCGTTTGGACTATAATTATACATATGATGTATAAATAAAGGCCTTGACTAGGATAGGGCCGTAGCAATGATTTTGGGGGCCCTGTTTCAAATAAAAAAAATGAGGCCCTTAATAATGTGAAAATTATACAACTTTTTTTATAATTTAAGCAATGTACAATTTCCCTATATATAAATTACAAATTAAAATGCTTTCTTATAACAATAATAATATAACAATGAAATCGAACCATATGCAAAAAATGAAAATTTTATAACAATAGTGTCACGTATACAATGATTACAATTTATACTAGGCCCGTACAAATAATCAAGATTTTAATAACAAATAAAAAATCTAACATTCTCACCCAAAAGCCAAAGCAAAAAACAGCCAGTAAAGATTCTAACATAAATGTTGCAAAATTAAAAAGAAATTCAGCCAGCTATGAAATAATAGGAATGATGAACATACTGCATAAATACAATATATACACCCATAGAAGAATTAGAAACTATCTGGCCCGTGCAAAAAAAAAAAAATTTGCTTCAATTCAAAACCAAAAAAAATAATATTAAAAAAAAAAACAAAAACATAAAAAATTAACCTTTAATCGATGGGCAAAGAAGTGAATTAATTGCTTCAATTTGAATTGGGAATTAGATGAATAGATGATTGAAGAATGATGGAAGATAACCCAGCGTTTGATAAATTTGACTGAGGAATTTTTTTTATTTTTTTTTTCCGTTGAAAATCCTTGAATAGAGAAAAAGAAAATAAAATTTTCCATGAAATTGATTGAAGTAATTATAATAGTACTAATTTGAATTGATGGAGGAATTTGGAAAATCGTAGAATTTAATACTTCCTCCGTTCTTTTATTATTGCATCACTTGCCATTTTAGGAAGTTTCACAAATATTGCATCATTTCCTCTTTAGAAAAAAAATTATTTGTGTTCACACTATAAATACCCAACATACCCTTACTTTTTCACATTTACTTTTTAGTTTATTAATATGTCACATGGGCAATTTTGTATTTTTACCTTTCTCTCTCTTACTTTTTTCCATTACCAAAATATTTGTACCCAACCCCTATGGTGCAATAATAAAAAAACGGAGGAAGTATGAAAGTTAGATTAAAGAGATAAAGATAATGAGGGTGATAAACAAGGAGACTTTATGTGTGTGTGTGTGGGGGGGGGGGGGGGGGGGTGGGGGGGGGGGGCTCCTTTAAAATTGGAGGCCCTGTGCAAAGGGGCACCTTGCACTTGCTCTTCTACAAGCCTGGACATGACTAGGGTTTGACATACTACACAATTAGCAGTCAATTGAGAATTGATAAGCTAGCAACCAAATCCTAAAAACCATGTATGAAGGAGTCAATACCAGTTAAAAATTGGTGAACCTTTTGGTCTTCTCGTTCCAATGCAGACCTTATAGAGCAACCTGCTTCGATACCATGCTGGAATCAAGAATGAAGGAATGAGAGTTTGTTCTCTTCTGTATTTCTTGAGTGATACCTTGCGACCCCTCCAACATTTACATGCATATTAGGTTAATATTAACTAAGAAAATACAGTTATATAATCCTAAATATATGCAAAAGATATACATCAATGCTACGTCTAATATAATACCTCCGAATACACTCGCCTTTTCTTTCTTATATTTTCAAATTAATTTGAATTTATGAGTTATTAGCCTTTCATACTAGTTAGTTCACCTCAAAAAAAGACAAAGAACTACATACTATTATTGTTAAGACTATTCTAGCTCTTTTATGCTTTTAAACTTTTTTTTTTTTTTAATTCACCTCAAAGAAAGACAAATTAATATGATCCTTACATTTAGATAACAATCCAATTCATTCATTAAAAAAAAAAAAAGTCAATTGTTGAGTTCAACTTGTGGTTCATGAATATTTTAGTCAATATCAAAACTTTAATTATTGGCTCCACACATTAAAACTCTACTCATATAATTCTTCTTGTTGAGTAGATGACCAATATTACTAGAAAGAAAAGGAAAATATAAGATATGGTTTGCTAATTGCCACAAATTAAGGGTGTGTATGAACCTCACAAAGATGTCTTATCTCATCTTGTTACACTTCAATAAGACAAACTTTACATTTTTTATGTTTTTTAGTTCAAATTTTATTCACGACTTTCAAGGCATTCAGACATATTTCAAACATCCATCAAGCTTCAAAACCGCAACCCTTTTGTGCGACGGCGCAGCCGTGACAACCGCCGTCACTCTAGGCATCTGCAACCTCTCCTTTCTTCCACTAGTTCTTATTCCTTCTTGGTTCTTTCTCTCTTTAAAGGTTAAGGTACTATTTTTATGTTTTTTTTTTTTTTTCACTAAATTTAATATGATGTTAAGCATTACTTTAGTTATGTTTGTGTCAATATTTTTGATGGGTTTTTGAATTTTGAAGTACCCTTTTGTTTTTTATCTTCTTGTATTTTGTTTGTTTTTAATTTGTTTATATGCAAGTGGGTATGTGTAGATTTTGGTGAAATGTTGGTTAAATGTTATATTTGCTGAAATGATGTGAATTAATTTTAGTTGGCAATTTTATGTTGTGGAAGGTGGTATCAGACTATTAGAGCAAATGAGCAATGTCATATACTTCTGTACAATTTTAACTGTATGTATGTATATTGTATTTCTTTTGTATTTTGGAATGAGGATATTACCATCTTACAAAGTAGCTAATGTATTTAAGGGGAGTAAAACGTTCAATTGTATGTTTGACTACATTCGATTGTATGGTGATGAACTGAATTGTCATTCAT